ATCTCTATTTCTTAGCCAATCATTCATAATTTTCATAAAGAACTTAATTATTGAGTTGCACACAAATAAGCTATATTGAATTTGCCACCACATTTGAATATTATATTTTATAATTTAAGCTTCGTTTGAGATGACTTTTTTAATGCTTCATAAAGCAAATTTTAATTATAAAAAAATTATTTTATTTACTAAAAACTATTTTAAGAAACAGTAAGAAAGCCGTTCCAAACGAGGCCTTATTCCTCCTCTTTCAAAAACAAAATAAAATTTATAATAATTTAAAGCTATTTAATATCATTTTTTTATACTTGATAATATTAGGGATTAGGGTCCCAAGAAAAATAATTAGGTGTGGAGTGCGCACCGTCCGAACAAATACTGGGTACCTAACGGTACCTAGCAATATTGAGTGCGGGTATCATTAGGTACCAAATACTTGTACGGACGATTCTCCCCGTCCATACTCCGCACCTAATAATCTCTGGGGTCCCAATACTTCTATATGAGAATTCTGAATTCTTCCACTATATATGAACAGATCTTTATCTCTTTCTTTCTCTCACCTCATCATCCTCTTCACTATTTCTCCCTGTAAAATGTAAATCTTTCTCTAATTCTAATATTACCATTTTTGGGAAGGCTAGTGGGACATTTATAGCATAAAGCAATTTTTTATTTTCCTTAATAAAATTTGAGAATAATTGATTGTTGAATATAATAAAGCAATCATTGTCGCACGTGTCAAATACAATTATAAGCATAATGATCCCATTATCATCTAAACAACTATAATTAAGCTTAATTACTCTTAGGTTGAGCTTTAGCTTAACTAATTAATTAAATTTTAATTTAATTCTATGAGTTCTCATTGTTTCCAATAAACTTATAACTCATTTATTATGAATAAGAAAAAGTAATTTTATTTCAGATAAATATTATAAAAAAAGTAAAAGAACTCTTAAATTAACATATATGTTATATATAATTATTTTTATTCACTTTTTTACGTTAATTATTGGATTTTACTATATATTTAAAGTTTTTTATATTAATATTTTAAACAAGAAGGTTGATGAGCTAATGAGTAAGATGAGTTAGCTCAAATTTGATTAAAAACTTAGTGAGTTATTTTTTTGAGTCAACTCATTAATGTAGGGACTTGACTCATTATGGTGAGTCTAGAGGTATCTATTATTGATCTTTAAAGTTTCCAACTAGCTTTTTCTCTCGAGATTCGCGTCCGATCAAGATAATTTTTACATGGCGTATCACTACTAATAAATCAGGCTTTCGAAATGCTTTTTCTAACATACAGCAATGGTTTAAACACCTGTAAAATCATTTGCAGAGGTTTCTACATAACTATTGTATATGTATTCGATCGCTAGAAACTGCTGTCTATACCAATCTATAGCAACGATTTTAAAACATGTACTAAAAACTGCTGTGAAAATCTTATATTTTTAATAGTGCTAGACTCGAAAAACTTGAGGTCAGATTAACCATATTAAATTTTAAGTTATGCTTAATTTTTAACCCGATTAAATTTATGATCATATTTGATTTGACCTAAAACTTGAAATTGATCTGATTATTATTTTTGTTAGTGTTAAACTGGTTGGATTTGGATTAGATGATGATGATTGTGTTGGTCCAAACAGGTACATATTTTATATAGTAAATGGGTCAAATAGAGTTATTTAAATTTTAAAGTAGTTTTTAGATTAAATAATTTAATTTCTATGAATAATTAATTGGATTCGGATTAAATACATTGAGATGGGAACAATTTTATATTGGACGTGAATCCTAACCGACTTGTCCGTCACTCCGTCCGCATGAAAAATTTATATGCGAATGGACCGTACCGTCGGCGGTGTGGTCACGGCCATCAGGGCGGTGGGCCCTAGCGGGTGCAGATATTTCCAAACTCCAAGGGAAGGAATGGACCACGTGCCAGCACGGCGGGGCAGGAGCCGGAGGCGCCGGTTCGATCAGGATTCGAATCTGACAATCGCAGCCGTTGATTTCGGTGGACCCCATCCCTTTGCTGTGGTGCTGTGTCGGTATCATTTATTGCGTACGAGAGATAGAGAGAGAAAGATGGCTGCGTGCTCTCTGGAACGTAGCGCGGGGAATGACGGTGAGCCGGTCGGTCCGGCCTGCAGGTGCTTTGAGATTCGTGCCATAAATAAATTTTTTTTTTTAATTATCATTAGAATTGTAAGCATTTTTCTCAATAATAAAAAAAACCCTAACACAATAAGCAAATTAAATTACATTTTATAAATTATAATTTATGTTTGGATATGATCTAAACAAAATTATGCATGAATTCTCCTTTAATTTTAGTAATTTTGCTCTATAGATATAATCTTCGATCTTCACGATGGGGGAGAGATTACGAGTATTTATTATTAAAAAAATATTTAAACTTTAAGATATTATGTAGTAATGGAAATTAGGAATTGCAAGTGATTGAAGTTAAGATATGTGCATGATGTTGCTTAACATGATGAACTGTGAGAGTGAGATTGAAAATCGAAAAATTTTCACACCAATCTGGTCATGATTATTGCTTCAGTTCAGATTGTTTTCTTGCTAAGAAAGCTGCTTTAAGAAGTAGTAAGAAAGTCGTCTCAAACAAAACCTATGTTGATTGTTTGGATGGTCTTCATAAACATAGTCAAGTATTTTTGAGCAATTGAAAGTGGTGGAGTTTGGCCTTTGCTTGTCTTTGGGTTGGAGGTTTGTATTCATATGATATTCCTTATTGATATATAGATTCCCTTAAATTTATTGGGAATGACTTTTGACCCTTTCATCTGCCTTCCTTGGAGTGGGTTTAACTTTCATGAGTGGGGAAGCTGATTGCTTAAAATATGTAAGGAGGTTAAGCGAGTCATGTATTCTTAGGGAACCCTTTGAATTACTTTGACCAAGGCGATGTTATGCCACTTGGTTATAATTTCTATGTCCAAATGATAATTTTTAGCCTTTTAATAAGTATAATAGTAAACAGAGAATGATAACTATTTTTTTTTTGTAAACGCTTATAGAATTATTAAATAATTATGAGGGTTTAAATATCTCATTAATTGACTTCAATTGTGAAGAAAATCACCAAAGTATTTTCAATGTACTTGAATAAGTATAAAGTAATATCATTCTTCAATGTTTATCAAACTTAAGTAGCACTAATAAATATAGGAATTTATAAAAAAAATAAGAATAAATCATACCGGTGTTTGACTATAACAATTATAGAATGATTTAAATCAATTGTACTATATCAAATGGATTCTTGAAAGGGTGTGTGTGGGCAAATATCCCATAAAATAAAAGGAGTGATGATATAACTATATCATATAATGCATTAGAATTCATACTAGGTTTGTTTAACCCTATTTTGAAGGTGATTTCACTTACAAATAAAGAAAACACTGAATGATTTGACAGAGATCATCTAATGTTGAATGGATCTATTGTGATCCAACATTAATTCCATTGTGCTCGCTTACTTTATAACTTCATGCAATTATTCATATAAGTATTGATCATCACGCTTATTATTTATATTTGATTCTTTTGCTTCATAGGAACGTCTATAAGCTATCATTGAATCAACACTCACCACTTGGCTCCCATCCTTTTAGAAAGCCTTAGCACTCCATCTAGGTTTCTCTTAAGGGGGTAAGAGTAGACTAGGGACTTTTGTACACCTAACTTATGTCATGCTTCCCTTTTCCAAGTTGATTTAAAGGAAGCTATAACTTAATATTCTAAAAAATATTTATAGATCTCTATTTTTAGCCAATATAAAAGTTAAGGTCTCACCAGTGTAAAATTCAAAAAATCATACCTTAAGCATCCCATCCCCTCTAGCACATTCCTCTCATTTTATTTTGAAAACAACATCAATTATGCATTAATGATAAAAAAAGGAAGTACAAAAATCTAAGAGATAGCTAATCTATGACAGTCTTCGATAACCATCTTAACAAATGAAAGAGGAATATCATTAAAAGAAGCATAATCCTTTTTTTTTTTATCAAAAACAACAAAGGATGCACAAAAATCAGCCACCTTATTACATGGCCTTGAAACATAAAGAAAAATAAAATTTTGAAATTCATCAAAGGATAAATCCACATTCATCAATGTCTTATTTGAATTATTCTTCAAGGAATTATGACAAAAATTCATTGCATTGACGTTATCACCTTCAATTATGATGCTTTTTTTTTTAATCAAATCTCCATTCATGCAGAAATTTTGAAACGGTGCTAAAAACAGTGATTTTCAGATGATTAACATCCCAATGGCACATTTGTTTACCAAAAACATCTAAAAACTTTCCATTACGTTCTCTTATAATACCTCCAATTCCCGCAATATTTGATTTAAATAGAATAACATCATATTAGTTTTAATCCAATAAGGAGGTGAGGGATGCTAAAAATTTCGGTTCAGCTGTGTAAGCCGGTTAGCATTTCAGATTTCATTAATTTGATTTAATCTAATATTTAGGTTATAGTTCAACACTTCAACTGCACCTAGACAAGGAGTTAGAACCTTCACACAATGCTTGAAAAAATTCATTTTATTTGCATGTTTATAGTATGTCATATAATTTTGAGTTGTATTATTTATTGATATCTAATTTCATTTTGTATTTGTGAAAGAGTGTGTGTGTGTATATAGACTTTAATTTTATGCATTTTTTATCTTAAGATTTCAAATTTTATTTTATTTAACTGATAGTTTATTAAAAATTTTGAGCTTTTAATTTTTTGTTGGTCTTTAATTTAAAAAAAAAAATAGATATTTGAGTTATAGATATTAAATATATATAATTTTATTGAGCTTATTTGAATTAAGAAAAAGAAATTTTGGATGTAATTTTTTAGTTGAATCAAATTTTAATTTTTTATTATATTAATTTCTGAATTTTTTATAAATTTAAATTAAATATGAATATACAGAAATTTAGGAACAGCGAACGAGGCAGTGAGCCGACTCGTAAGATGGCGTCCGGAGATTGTTCCCTGCTTTTCTTTAGGCTAACGTCATACAGTACAGCCACCCCTTCAACCCTTCTGAGCTCTCTCTTTTTTCCCCGAGAGAGAGAGAGAGAGAGAGAGAGAGAGCGTATTCAGTGCTTCTTGCTGGTCCCTCTTTACTGATCATGTAAGCTTTTCTTTGTCCAGAGCGTGTGACTAGGGAGGAGGTAGCAGTGATAGAAGACCAGAGGAGGAGAGAGTACTGGCGGTGAGGAGCGAGGTTTTGTTCTTACTGTTCTTATATAGCTTTCTTTCTAGTTAGAAACAGGCAGCGAAGAAGATAGAAAGAGAGCAGAGAGTTGTTGGTTGCTTTGTGGCAAGAGAGGAGGAGGAGGAGGAGGAGAAGGCTTCTTCTCGTTTCCTTTGAGGTTTCTTTCTTCCTGCAAAGTAATCGGAGAGGAAGAGAAAGATGATGCTAGCTGATGAAAGACGGTAGAATCCAGTCAAGAAGGGAAGAGGAGCTGTAGAGAGATACGGCAAATAAGGCTAGCATTAGAGAGCTGGAGAGGCTCAGATTTGAAGAGATCAGCTTCCGAAGTACAGCTGGTTGATCTAAAAAGAAGTGTTCTTTTAGTCTATTACAGCCCCACAAAAGAAAAAGGTGGATTTAGAGAGAGGAGAGAAGAAAGTTTAGTAGAAAATTCAGCAGTAAGCGAGAGCAATGCAGTCGGGTTTCGGAGGAGTGTCTGAGATGCAACAGTTCATGGTAGACGGCTCTGCCCACCCCTTCTTCTCAATCTCCTCCACCACACCACCACCGCCTAACGCCGACGTCATCGCCGCTGCGACTGCTGGAGGCCATGAAATCTACCATCCCGCCGCCATAGCACCGACCAACAAGTTATTCAACACCTTCTACCGTCATCCCGGCCAATACTCGCAGCAAAGTCCGCCGCCGCTGCCCCACTTCCCTCATTTCCACTCAAATATCCCCATCACTCAACAACTCTTCACCCCACCACCGCAGCCTCATGACCATCACCACCACCACCATTTCCAACTCTTTCAAGCCAACCATCATAACCACCGCCGCCTTATCCCCAATTCACCTTCCCTCGACCACGACACAAATCCAGAGAATTCCGTCAGCGGCCCGTTGCTTCACGGAGACGGCGGCCCACCAACTCCTTTTCTGCCCGCCGACATGAAATTTAAACTATCCGTCGACGACAGCAGCGGCGGCGGTAGCCGCCATACCTTCAACAACGACAATGATGTTCCCAGCAGCATTCTCCACGGCGAAAATGCCTCCGAGAGCCGATTACGTTCATGGAATAGAGAAGACTGCACCATAAAGGAGCCGTTTTGGTAAATACTACCTACCTATCTTCAAAGATCCGAAATTCAAAAGTTCTACTTTTTCTTATTTTATAATTCTTTTCAGGCGGCCATTAGATTTAGACTACATTAACAGCAACAACAAGCGGTGCAAAGAGAAGGAGTCAGCCGAGCTCCACTTCGCTAAGCGAAGCAGAGTAACAGAGGAGCTGGAGAATTCCCATCCAGGCAACAACTATAAACTCTTCAGCGAGCTTGAAGCCATCTACAAACCTGGCGGCAGTAACTCCACCGCCACCGAACCAGTCAACATTAACCAAACCACAACCCACGCCGCCAACCAAACCACCGGCTCCGGCTCAGCTCTCACCGGCGACGACCATCCTCTCATCCCCCCTGTCACCACAGCTGCATTCGGCCTCGATTACCGCCTCGAAGACGACAATTCCACCGGCGGCGAAGCTCATACAAATCTCAAGAAAGCTCAACACCACTCCCGCCGCCGTCGCCGCCGGCGACGGCTGAAAATAAAGTCCATCGCTGCATTCTTCGAAGGACTGTTAAAACAGCTGATGGATCACCAGGAAGCCCTCCATAAAAAATTTCTCAACGCGATGGAGCTGCGTGACAAAGAACGGATTGGGCAGGAAGAAGTCCGGCGGGAGCAGGAAGCCGCCCGCGCTCGCCGTGAAGCCGTAGCTCGTGCCCACGACCGTGAACTCGCTGCCGCACGTGAAGCAGCCATACTCTCATTCCTTGAAAAGATCACCGGTGAAAACATCAACCTTCCACCCTTCCCCATCTCCTCCGCAGACAAAACCGACGTCGTTGCCAAAGCCGGCGACTTGATTCCTTCCACAATGCTGACGACGAGCCGGTGGCCGAAAATCGAAGTCCAGGCTCTGATTCAGGTACGCAGCGAGCTCGACGGCCAATTCCAAGAGCCGGGCTTGAAAGGCCCGCTTTGGGAAGAAGTCAGCGCCGCCATGGCGACAATGGGATACCTCCGGAGCGCAAAGCGATGCAAAGAAAAGTGGGAGAACATAAACAAATACTTCCGTAAAAGCAAAGAAAGCGGCCGTAAACGCTCTCAGCACTCCAAAACCTGCCCTTACTTCCACCAACTCGACCAACTCTACTCCAAAGAAACTGGCCGAAAGGTCAAGAACTCCGAGCTTCTCGACGCCGTCGTCGTCTCCGGAGCCGGAGAGGAGGTGGGGGACAGCGAAGGGCGAAGGACGGCGGTAGATGAAGAAGAACAAGAGGAGGACGACGACGTCGACGACGAGTCGAGTCAATTCATCGAACAGTTGCAGTAATTGGAATGCGTGCTGTGCAGAGAATTGTTTGTTAGCAGTAATATAATCACTTTGGTCGATATAATAAGACATATCCTGCAAAGTTTTTATTTTCTATCTAATAAAAATATGTTTCTTATTAAATAATTATGGATTCCTTTGCCGAGATTAAAATAATTATTATTTTTTTATTTTTTTAATTACTAATAGATAAAAATAATATTTATATATTAATGAATTTGAAGTTCATTTTAAAATGATTTATATTTGAATTTATTCTTCTTCTTCTTATTAAGAAATGATGACAATTTACAATTTAGGAAATTAAGATAAAGTATTTCTTATTGATGATGAGCCATTCAATATTATGAGCATCATTGATGTGACACTTCAAACTATGAATAGAATTATATGAAAGATGAGTAAGGTCATAAATATCATTAACCTAAGGAGAAGCTTAATCTATATGGTATAATTTGAAGCAGATGGATATAATGTCATGTTTTATGTTGACACATAAAAGGTGGTTAAAGGAAATTAAAAAAAAAAGGGTGATCAAAGGAGCTATGGTGATTAACCTAGGAATTATGATTGTATGAAATCCTTCAAGTAAAAGAAGATAAATTATTAAAACATCAATGCGTCTTTTTTGTGTAATAGTTGAAATTTTATTTAAGAAACTCTATAGTTAAGCGTGCTTATCAAGGAAAAATCCTGGAATGAGTGACATCCTAGGAAGCTTATCAATAGGATAAAATCGTGAGACTATTAAGCTAAAACGGACAATATCTCAATAGTTAATAGTTTGAACTATAACAAATGGTATCAGAGTAATACACCAGTTGAAAGATGAGAATTAAGTACCTACAAGATAAAGTGCTACGTCATGGGAGTCATCTCTTGAACCATGTATGAGACAAAAGTGCTACATGTCGGGAGTCACTACTTGAACTTGTTGGGTCCATCTCTAGAACCCTATATATTTGGTGGATGATTTTGGGATAAGAATACTGACGAGGACATCGTTTACTTAAGTGAGAGATTGTGAAATCTTTTAAGTAAAAGAATTAAAACTCTTAAACATTGAGGCATTTTTTAGTGTATTGGTTATAATTTCATTTAAGAAACTCCATAGTTAAATGTACTTATCTTAAAAGAAATTTTTGGATGTATGACCTCCTGTAAAGTTACACCAATAGGAAAAATTGTAAGGCCATTAAGCTAATGCGGGCAATATCTCGATAGTTAAGAGTTTGAGCTGCTACAAATGGTATAAAAGTAATAAACCAGCAGAATATAGGAATTAAGTACCATACAAGACAAAGTGCTACGCCTTGGGAGCCACCACTTGAACCTTTTATGTGACAGAGTACTATGTGAAGGTAATCACCACTTGAACTTGTAGGGGTCACCTCTAAAATTCTATCTATCTTGTGAATGATTCGAGGAGATGCTGATGAAGACGTTAGTTACTTAAGTGGGGAAAATTGTGAACCCTTAAGTAAAAGGCTAAACTCTTAAACACTGAAGCACCTTTTGGTGTAATGTTTAAAATTTCATTAAGAAACTCTATAGTTAAGTGTGTTCATTCCAGAGAAATATTGGAGTGGGTGACCTCCTGAAAAGTTACACAAACTATACAAAATCGTGACACCTTTAGACTAAAGCAGACAATATCCCAATAGTTAAGATTTTAGGTTGTTATAAGTGGTATCAGAGCAATACACCAGCCGAAAGATAAGAACTAAGTGTCATATAAGACAAAGTGCTAAGCTATGGGAGCCACCTCTTGAATCATGTTTGGGATAAAGTGCTACTTGACAGGATTCACCAATTGAACTTGTAGGAGCCACATCTAGAATCTTATGTGTCTGGTGGATGATTATGGGATAAAAGTTTGGGCTGTTACAAACTGTACATTCTACATTGCCACAAGTACATGAGCAGTAAAAGTTACAATATATTCTGCTATATAAGTTAATATTTGGCACTAAATACTAAGCCTCGTGAGAAATAGGTCTAAAAATCCTTTATTCTCAAAGTAATAGACATTTTGAACTTATCACAATCTCAACATATTGAACAAGTATTTGACATATTCAATATGATGGAAGAAAAAATAATGAGCATGGCACTTACAAACACTTCAAACTCTCAAAAAACACTATTAAAGACATATGAAGTGAAAAATTATACGAGTAAAGTCCCTTACACTTCAGCACTTCGATATATGCAATGGTTGGTACAACACTAGACATTACACATGCCATGTGAATTATTAGTTAATATATTTCATATTTAGAAATGAAATATTGAGAGGCCGTAAAGTGAATCTTATGTTACTTAAAAGGTATAATTAATCACTCATTAAAATTTAAAGTACGTAATTTGAAATTATAGGGATATGTTGATGTTGATCTATGAGGGGACCTAAATACACAAAGAAGTACTAATATGGACTTGTAATCCTCAAATGACACTAATATTAGTTGGATGCTACAACTATAAAAAATAGTTGCATTATCGAGAACAAAATTGGAAGAATCGGATCCATGAAAAAATGCATTATTCTGTGATAGTCAATGTATCGTTCCTGGGTAAAGAATGCTCCCTTTTACTCTCGAACAAAGCACATTCAACTTAAGTGTAACTTCATACATAACTTGCTTGAAGAAGATACTTAATAACTTGTTAAAATCAAGAGCAAATGCCCCATTGAAGTGCCCACAAAGTAATAGCCACTGAAAATTCAAGGTTTGCAAAGCCTCAATTAACCTTTATAATGATGATATGGAGTTGTCATACAGAAACATGTTTAGACACCAACCACTAAATAGCTATGTCAAAAAGTTTTATCTCAAAGTAAAAAATTGTTAAGATATGAAGATAAATTTTGTTTACCTAATTCATGCAAGTGTCTAACTTAACTCCAATAAATTCAAAACCTATTATTTTCTAACTAATAGCTACATTATAGTCCTTGCCATAACATACCTAATAAATTCAACCTAGCTACTAACCACTCTAAGCTCTATGTAAGGAGATGATTCTACTAGGTAAAGAAGATCCAACAATCACAAATTATTAGAAAAGGAAGAGAAAGGGGATAGAGTCTTAAGCTTTAAGCCGTAATAAGGAGAAGCTCTTGCAAGGGAGGAGTCGAGGAGAGAAGATGAAGAAGCTATTGTAGTAGAAAATGGACTATGGTAATTGCACAATAATAACATATTCTTCTCGAAGTTTAGCTACCATTTTTACAGTATCCCTATTCTTATCTTCATATGTGTACTTTATTTTTTATATATATACTCCTCTTTTAAAACTTACTAGAATACTTGATTTATGTGCGGTCGTGAACCTAGTGAATATCATTAAATTATGTAAACTTGTGTCTCTTATGACTGTAATCTTGGCATGCCTTCAATTGATATTGCTCGACGTATTATCTATATCCCAATTTATCAAAGTAGACTAAAGGAGAGCATTAAAAGTTCTCTATTGGAGAGGTAACTTTGTGAAGTTCATATTTTTTCATAGAACAAAGATATAATTGGTGTGCTCCCGAGAATAATTTTATTACTCTATTTGATGGATTAGGTTGAGCCATACAAGAAAAGATTTTAATAACTTTGTTGCGGGCTTGAATATACGTGGCGATAGAGTTTTAACTATACGTCTTAGCTTTGCACGGATATCCAGCACGCACACAGAGAACACAAGATTTTTTACGTGGAAAATCCTTGAAAGGGGGAAAACCACGAGGCCTAGCCCAGTTGAAAATGATTCCACTAGAATATAAGTCGGTTACAATGGTCTGACTCGCCTCCGAGGGCGATCAGATGACAAATAACAACTGTACGATAGAAGTCCGGGTGTCAGGTGATGATCTGGAGGAACTTCGGGCCTCAGGTGATTGTCTAATGAAGGAGAGGGCCTCTGGTGAAGGTGAGGGCCTCTAGAGAAGGTAAGGGCCTCTGACGAAGATGAGGGCCTCTGGCGAAGGTGAGGGCCTCAGGTGGTGGTCCGGCGCTAAAACGGACACCGTTGTAAACTCAAACAGTGCTGATGAAGCTCCAACATCGCTTCGGGAATTGATTGGCTCTATTTGGGCACCGGATTGAGTGAGATGGTGCGTTAGAATTTGTATTTCCGAGACTTAGTTGACTATACAGTTTCTAAATTCTCCAGAGTTTTCAGATATTTTCTGATGTTTTTGGATTTTTAGGAATTTTTCAGACCCAAAAATGGTATTAAAAACATCATTTTTAATGGGATGGGTGGCCCACATGTAGAGCTGTGGGCGAACCGCCTCACTTCCCGCCATGAATGGAGCGCGCCTGCAAGAGGTGCGGACACCTCGCGCAGTTAGGCGCCGGCTAGCCAGGGAGCAGGCCGCAACGCGCGGTGGGCCAGTCGCAGCGGCGCGCATACGCGGCGGGCCAGGCAGCGGCTACCGCGCGGGTCAGGCGCGGCCCGGCCAGGCCAGCGGGCCGCATGCCACGGGGGGCGAGGCCAGCGGAGCAGCCGCATGCGCGGCGGGCCAGGGAGAGCGCCCAGGCGAGGCGGGGCTGCGATGCAACGCCGATCGCCACGGCCAGACCTGTGAGCGCAGGCTGGCGGGCTGGCGTGGCGATTCTGCGCGCGCGGCGTGCGGCCGGCAATACGGTTTGGCCGTTCGGCGCCCGTCTCATCATGCCATTTCTTCCAGAAATCCCAAATTCGACATTTTCTGGACAACATTTTTCGACATCCGGACTCAATTTGACACTTTAAAGCTTAACGACGGTCTTTACAACAATTGACCAAGGCACTTAATTTCAGAATGCAAATTTCGATTCGGCTACTATAATGTTGGAACTAGTATTTCGGACCTATAAATTTTTTCTTTGAACGTCCGAAATAGGGGCAAATTGATACATCGTCAAAAATTATCTTGATCGGCAACGATCTAGATGCGAAAATGGGTTGGAAACTTCTAAAAATTAATTCTGGAGACCCATCTCAACTCCGATTTCAACAGAACTTATAGTAAACTAAGCGTCTCGAAATATGTAACTATCCAACACACCAAATTCGACTCAATCCGAGCCAAAATCGAGCCCAAAATCAAGACTGAAGTGCGTTGGAAGCTTCGTAACACCAGTTGAGTTACCAAACGTGTTTCGATTTAGTGAGCTTATAGTCAATCGAGCGGTCATGCAGAGGAATCCAAACGAGCCTCAAAGCAGAATGTTGTACATCACTAAGCCTTCAAATGTCAACTAATTAGTGTATTGTAGAGGATCAATATCGGCCGTCCATATCGACCACCCCTATCGCCCTTGATCTCACGGCCTATTTAGAGCTATGCCACTCCATAA